GAGTGTTAGCCTGAAAGATGATTCTAATGATTCAATATAATTTTGAGGTGTGAACGCGAATAAATAATTAAAATCCAGCTCAATTTCGTAGTACCCGTAATGTATATAATATATAATAGACATAATATAAAGGATGTTTTGATTTTAAGTTTTTCTTTATTAGTAAAAAGAAAAATGGAAAGTATTTTATTTTGGAAAATGTTAATTGAATTAAATTTTTTTAAAAATAGCCACCGTTTTTATATGTTTTTTTCCTTAAAAATTGAAATATAAATTTTATAATTCGAGATAAAAAACCTATTAATATTCAGTCTCTCTTTCAAGTCTTGTTTTCGTGTATCAAGAAAATAGCTCGAATTTCCTTTCACAAATACACATACGTCTGAGAATCACCGTTATATTACTTTATGAATAATCATTTTAGTTGTGTAAAAAATAATTGTACTATATTCTATAGGTATTCGCCGTTGCTCAAAGCGTATCGACTTTTATTCCGTTTTCATAATCGCATTCGAGAATTCGGTTCGTCGGTCGTGACGGCCTTGGGGAAAAAAGGTGCAGCATGTAATCTAACTGTTAACAGTGGATTAAGCGGTTTCCGTTGCCTGTCTACATAAATGACCGATGAAGTTGCAACTTATCGTGACGCGCACGTTGCGAACCTGTCGCGACATTTTCAGCGAACGTTTATCCATTCGTCGGAACAAGCACTTTACGAGTGATATATGCGTCCCTACACGTCAATTAAGGGAGAAGAAGCTGCATTAGGAAAGTACGTGATTTGGCATCATACGAATCTTCGTTAGTTGTTATATAGCGTGTGCTAGAGGTCTAGAACTCTCGACTTTAGTTTCGACAGAAAATTTTTTAGTTAATACTATTGGTATGGTATCAATTTTTCTACTTGATTTTTCTTTTGAATTTTTATTGATATATTGGGGTGTCCCAAAATGACCGCATTTCTTTTTACGGACGAATTCTTGAGGTAATTTTAAGACAAAAATATGAAAATATCGAGATTACAATAATTTTTTTTAATTATAAGCTAACTTTAAATGCTTATAAATCAAAAACCATTTTACTTTTATAGCCTCTATTATTATTTCTGAATTCTTTTAAACATTCTAAGATGAAAATCCTAATACGAAAATACGAGGCTATAATAGTTTTCGAATTACAAACTATCTTTAACCAATTATAATTCAAAAACCATTGTAGCCTCGACATTTTTGTATTAGGATTTTCGTCTCAAAATTACTTCAAGAATATGTTTTTAAGAGGAAATGCGATCATTCTGGGACACCCTGTATAATTAATTTTTTATACAGAAAAAATAACATGTAATAACTTTTTGTAATGGCTTAAGAAAATTCAATTTCAAATTTACATTCGTCTTCGAAATTAAGGTCGAGGATTCCAGTACCGCCTAGTATGTAATTTATCTTTTTTCTATAATTTGACGCGAATTACTCTTGCGTTCTAAATGTGTATGCGTTTGTATAATACTTTCGCTGTCAACCGATTGCGTCATCTTGGACCGTAAGAAAACCGCGTTTGCAATACGGCCTTAACCGCGACTAGCAATAAATGGTCACTGCACACAGATTGCGACGACCACAAGTATCATAGGGAGAATTGTCAGCTTTTTTCAAGCACTATTTTAATGGTCACATTGGAATTCGTCCGTCAGTCGCAATTATGTGCATGTTTGTGTTATTTTATGTAAGATGTGATAAATAGTAGTATTTTCAAGAAAACTAAAGATAGAAATTGAAAGAGAGAGAGAGAGAGAGAGAGAGAGAGAGAGAGAGAGAGAGAGAGAGAGAGACAAAAAACTTCAATGTTGACCCGCTCATCTTTGAGCGTTGGCACACTTTGCGTGAGATTTTTTGCCTGTTTGTGTTCCACGGACAACAAAAGTTGTTGGACAAGACTTCCACTCGAAATCGTGGATTTGTTCGTTTACAAATTTTCTAGCATATAAGTTTTATTGTATCTACGTGCGAGTAGAGATGTGCAAAGATTAAACAGTCTAAACGACCTAAGCCAATGGTTTTTTTTTGCCTTGAGCGTATGTGGGACAACGTGGAGATTTCAACGCGACGCTTGTTGACGCGACTCGCGATAAAGGTTCCTACACACAGTGACACATGCATTACATTTGGCTAAAGATAACTTGACGATATGTCCGCCTGTTGAAGCAATTTAAAACAAATTTTTCCGACATTCCATTTTTTTGTTTTATATAGAAATAAAAACCGATGGGATATGATTCATAATACTAATGTGTGAATTTCCAGCAAGCGTCAGAAATTGATTTTTTTAGCGTCAGAAATTGATTTTTTTAGCTACTATTGATATGGCATCAATTTTTTGCTCGATTTTTCTTTTGAATTTTTATTGATGTATTCTGCTTATTGCATCATATTGTGAAGTGAGACAGATGCATTAAAATGCTACAGTTTACACTAAAAAAATCAAATATGTGTCAAACACTAAAAGTAGCATTTCTTTTCCCATAACAATTTATGATATTTAACTTTTTTTTATTGAAGTTTAGTTAAATATAATAAGTGATGCATAATAATTATAGATGATAGTTATTTGTACTTGGTTCACCTATACATAATTGGTTCACCTATTTTACTCGCTAAATTTTAATTTAGTGAATAAAAATGATAGAAAAAGTGAATTTTAATTCATGTCAAATTGTAATATCACGATTTAATAAAAAAATGTTATTAATTATAAAAATATTTAAGAGGAAAACATTGGATTCATTAAAAGATATTATCGAAAGAATCAATAAGATAATGGTTCCATTTTGCCAGATATACTACTATGAGACTTGTTTTATGTCGGAGATTTAACATTTCCATTTGCGTTCAAGACATCGCATAACAGCATTTGATTTGATGACGCATTTTCCACACCTGTCTATGAATAAATTAAACTTTAAACAGTTTTGTTAAATTACTGTATTACAAGAAGATTGAAATTATATGATTAGAGAGAATTCTAGAAGTATTAAAAAAGAGATTTAGCAAAAACTGAAATAATATAAAACGACAGATCTTTCATATTTATTATTGATATTTTAGATATTAAATTTTATAGAATATTATATTAAATTAATAAATAATATATTTATGTTTCATTAAACAGGTCAGTTTCTCAAATTAAATAATAAAAGATTAAAATAAAATCGGAAAATATGTTAAAAAATAAGATATCTCGGAAAAGATAAATATACACTGTAGATATTTGGCTGCATGTTTCATTTTCCACGGAAATCCAATTAGTTTGGCTTCTCATTACCTGATTCGCCGTAATTTCAACGCATCGTATAATGATTCACGCACGCTTATAATTATAGGGAAGCGATATTATTTACACGCGGTGGAATGCTTGACGTAAGAATTATTACTCGCACGATACGATCGTGATCTGCACAAGTGTTTCTATCGCGATAGAAACACGATGATCGAAGTCTTGCAGACGACGGTAATAATGACCATGATACTGATGTGTAATTCTTCGTAATTATCAACAATTCGCATGCCGTAATGGGAAGCGTTTGAATGGAACATACAAAGAATTTTTCAAAATTGACTCATCTAAATCAGTTAATGTGCGCAGTAAAATTAGCCACAAAATCGATAAAATAAAATAATAGAGGACGAGATAAAATCTTACGAAATTAAATCAATTTCCGATATTTTTTAAATTTATAGTATTTAATTGAACGATCTTTATGTGTGTAAATGTGTGTAAAATCGATCTTTTTCAATATTTCTTTTATTGAAGCCGGGAAATCTGAATTTTGTATCTCATTGATTCTGCACATATTAAAAAAAAATACGTTCAATGCTCGTAGCAATAAGATTATTTTCAATCACTACCTCCGTTATCTTTATTTAACAATTTCGCATCATAAAAAGAAATACGTATATAAAAATATGACAAAAATATAACAATAAAGTGCCTTGTAGCAAATTCGATTGGATACACTGGTGCATATTGGAGTCACCATAAATAAATATTGATATAAAAATGTATTTAATATAAATATAGAAACGCGGGTAAACTGCGAAATTCTCAATATTTTTAATTTTATTGTGTTGTTAGGTAAAAAAATATTTTATAATTCGAAATATTTGCATTTTATTTTTATACTTGGATAAAATCATTGTATAACGATTTTAATATGCATGCCACGGTGCGCATCAGTATGTTCAATCAAATTAGCTATTAAAAGTATATGATATACAATAGCTCAAATTTATTATATTTATTAAGATTATTTGGTAATAAAAAATATTATCTTAGGCTATTTAAATCGATAATAGTTTTATCTACAAAATTTTTAGAATTTAGATTATTAGAATAGAATAATTATATAATTATTTTTTGAATATAATTGAAAACATTTATTGAGTGAATATGGTAAAATGAATTTAAATATTATAAAATTATGCGGATTTATTAAATTATAGTATGTGTCTTCTAAATAAATATGATAAAATAGCAAATTTATTACAAAGAAAGAAGAATAAGAGGCTTTGTTATAGGCGCCCTCTGCTCAACATCTATTACTCAATGTTCACGTCGATAAACGCAGCTGTCCGAACTTATCTTGTAAATTACCGACTGGTCGATCGCCGAATAAAAGAAAGAATACGGTAATTACGGTACATATATATATATATATATGCATTTGAAATGAAATGTAAAATATAATTTTACTTTGTGTACCAAAAACGATGCTTAAGAAATCTCTTCCTCTTTCATTCTTTTGAAAAAAAATATTTTTCCTTTCCCTTCGATATTTTTTCTTAAGAAACGAAAATCAGATGCATCTTATGCTATCTCCTTTCAAATTATATTTCTTCGTATAAATATTAAAATAACTGCTCTTTTCGTTAATTCAAAATAGACAGAATAGTTAAGACAAAATAAT